GCTAGACCAGATCTATGGCCTTGAAAAGCATCTAACAGTCCTTGTCCGATGTGTCCCTGCGCGAGTTGCGTTTACGAGGCCAGGCTGTAGTGGCAAGTGCCAGGAAGAGCTCGGGCGTTTATGGGCGGCGGGCCTCGGGCAAAAGAGGAGGAGTAGACCTTGGGTTGAACCCCGGTAAGAATTTTGGGTGTCTTCTGGCGACCGAATCGACGAGGCATTGGATTTTGGTGTTTCCGACCATGGTGGTTGAAGCAAGGCGGTTGCGGTCCCGAGGGTTTGATCCCCGATCATGATCGGCGTTCTGAGTCTCTCTTGTCTTCTGCCACCACAAGCATTTTCTTGCTGGTTCGAGTTGAGGCCCTTTTCCCTGTTTTGCTTCGTGCGCTTGCCTCCGTCTCGTTCATCAAGGTCTCGGAACCCTGGAAGCCTGCGAATATTGCGCCAGTCGACGCCGTAGTTGGTCGAGCTTTACTATGCTCGGAGCCACTTGAGTCTTGGATTCAGCTCAAATCTCCAGTAAATCGCGTCGCGTCGCCTTGACCGGACCAGCGATCACAATCTGTTACAGGTGTGCAAATTGTCTACGTGTTTCTCACGCATTCAATTGAAAGGCTGAACTAGGTGGCTCGCATGTTATAACCGCCCCGGAGTCGTTCCTTCGCCGGCCCCTGCGCCAAGACCACCAGACACCGGAGAAGATGGATTCCGACACCCTGGGGACTGGTTCGGTCCCGCAATTGCTGCTTACACCGGTGTCTTCGAATGGACCGTTCAAATCCTGTGATCTGTTTCAATGAACGTTATTCTCCATGCCCCAAAACGACGAAATTCGGTACACGCGGGGTACGGAAACCCCGGCGGACGAAGGATAAGTATCAAGTTACGAACAGTCAACGTGTCCGCCATCCGTCTTATGTCCAGGTAGATCCGCCCATCCTCCTTTCGCAACCGACGGCTTTAACGCGGAGAATCCACGAGCGCTATATTAGGAATTCGCTCATTGGGTGGTAAAGTAAGTTTGGAATGCGTGGGGCAAGAAACCACTCATCGACCCAGACCCTCTCTGTGTTTTTCAGCCTCCGAGTCTCAGGCTGTCCAAAACTTTATTATGAACCTTCAAGAAGCGTGATCACGAACGCGAGCCCGCATGCTTTTCCCCGCGCGCATGTGGTAGAGCTTAAACCGACCGGTGGACTGGATGCTGGTTCCGAAGTCTTCTGGACGGTTATCTCGCGGAGGGACTTGCTCATACTAAACAGTATTGATATTGCCGTCACCAAACTGAAGTCCCAATGGCCACTTTCAACAACGAAATAGTACCGGCGAGTCCCCGCCTTTCAGGAAATAAATGTGCGCACTGACCATGAACTTATCTTACTGCAGGAGCTATCTGACAGATCACACGCGCGCAGACAATCTCACCCAATATGCAGACGGACATTCAGCTTCCTCGCCATGCTGCCTCGAATTAAATGCCTCACGGTGGGATCGCCCGTCCAATCGCGCTTCTTCCCCCGGGACCGAGAGCGCTCCGTGAGACGCAGGAAAGTAACGCCTCGAACCGCATTCGCTCTGAAGGCTTTCCCCAGAGTGAGCGCGTCGTGTCGGACCCGAGAATCACCTCCGCATAATGAACGTCCCGGTCGGAACCGAGTCTCGTGGTGTCTTTTCCTCACTAATACCTCCTTTCCAGGCACCAACTCAACTGGCGGCGCAGACTACCGTCTTCAAGTTCTGCAGAATAAATTGGTTGGTGGGGTATAAAAGGAGGTACGAGTTGAGGTTAATTTCCTCAGCATACCTGGCATTTTCACGCTCTACCACCAACCATGTTCGCCAAAGCCTTCTTCCTTGCCCTCATCCCCGCCATCATGGCCGTTGACCACGCCGTCACCGTCGGCGCCAACAATGCGCTCAGCTTCACCCCCACTACCGTCGTCGCCGCCGTGAGTTGCTTCCACACACAGCGAGAGGCGCACTGACATTCAACTCGTGCCCTGTAGGTCGGAGATACCGTCACATTCACCGTTGTTTCTCGCAACCGTAAGACCATCTGCTCTTCTGTCGTGACATGAAGTTCTGACCCACGAGGACATTGTCTAGACTCCACCACGACCACCAACTTCTCCGGTACGTTGCATCCAACACTGCTGGATTTTCACCCGCTAACGCCGCGATAAAGGTGCCGTGTGCCCGCCTCCCAAGGGCGGCGTCGGCGTCAACGGCTGGGACTCGGGCTTGTAAGAAGTATTTCTTCTCGGCGAACCGCATAATATTCACCAACCACCGACAAACAGCTTGTCCGACCTCGACGGGTAAGCTTCACGCTGTCGACCCGCCTCCTATTCTTTCTTACACCCATCCAGGTCCCTCCCCAAGTTCGTCTACACCGTCAAGGACACCGTGCCGCACTTCGCCGCCTGCATGCAGGCTGCGGGTGCCCATTGCCGTGCGTGCCGTCCCGCCTTCGTTCAAGTGCTCCCTGACTGACGAGAGCGTCTCAGGCGCGGGGATGACCTTTGCGTTGAACCCCAGCACGACGCAGACCTACGCGCAGTTCCTCAAGAACGCCGAGGCGTCGTGAAAGCTTGTTATGAGCTTCATGTACCCCGTGAAGAGATGTGGGGAGCACGGGGCGTGTTTTCCTCTTGGGTAACAGAGTGTTTGTGTCAGATGTATTTTTCGGCTTCAAATTCATATGATGTGTTTACACCAGTGTGCGCGAGACTGGAGGATGAAGCCTCAGGGACGCGCTAGCTTTTTGATACTCCGGGAAAGGCCGCCGAAGGCACAGACCGGATCGCGAATCACCGCAGGCCGGAGTACCCACGCACAGAACAATTGGACTTCATTTCACTGGCCCAGAGGCCTTCATCTAAGCACAACCTTTGCCGCAATTAACACAATCTCTCAGGCGCAAGACCTCCGTTCAACTGGTTTGACGGCGATTTCGAGACACTTGCGAGTTTAGATATCGTATTTCCCAGCGTCCAATTGCATGGATGATGTGTCCGGAAGATAAACTACACCACGTTTTGCATCAACCTCGGTGAAAGTGAACCGTGGGAAATATATCGGGTATCTCGGCGCTTTTGCCGCATGGAAATTTCGGGCTCATAGGAGCCTCAGCCCAGTGCCCACACTTCTGATGCCGTACTACAGGTATACTTAATTTTCTCAGACGACAGGATGACGAACTTTGGACAAAGGATCCCCTGGGTGGCGGTGGCTTGAGAGCTGAACGCCGTACTCATTCGAGCGCAGGGAATCGAACCCCAACCTACTGCTTGCAATTATTTCATGCTAGACAACAAACTGTCACAGCCGTGCGCCGTGCACCACACTCTAATCCTCCTACCTCCTTCGAACCCCGACCTGCTGCCTGCATCCACAGTTAGGAATCGGCAGGGGCAGCCGAGCACTGTGCACCACGCTCGATTTCCTAACCCTTCCTATCCGGCAGGTGTCCTCAGCTGCCCTGTGCGAAAGACTCCGAGGAAAAAATGTACCTATACTTCCTGGAGAAAAAAGAGATTGGAGGATCGGCACTCGAGCGCAGGGAATCGAACCCCGTCCTGCTGCCTTCATATTCAAGACATTTCTAAGTGGGGCAGCTGTGCGCCACACTCAATTCCTCCTACCTTCTTAGCCGGTGCATGCCCACTTCAAAATAAATAATGCTTTTAATACAGAGAAAAAAAAGTTAGAGGAGCGTCCTGCTGCCTGCACCATTCACGAGATGATATAGGGGGGGCACTGGGGCAGCCGTGCACCATGCACCACACTTGATTCCCCCTCCATCCTTATCCGGTGCATCCCCAGGTCAAAAAACTTTACCTACTTTGATCTGTGAAAAAGGACGAATGACACTGCTCTTTGACTGCTCTACTCGAGCGCGGGGAATCGAAGCCCGACCTGTTGCCGACAGAAGATTCATCGGTAATGAGGGCAGCCGTGCGCTGTGTACCACACTCACTGATTCCTCTTACCTCCTTATCCGGTGTATACCCATAACCCATTTCACAATAAGTAATGCTTTTAATGCGGGAGCAAAATAAGTTATAGGGTGAGGGCCAACTCGAGTGCGGGGAATCGAACCCCGACTTGCTGCCTACCATCTCCAAAGCTTGTATATGGAGCACACTCGATTCCACTCCTTCCTTGTCTGGTGCATACCCATAGCCAACCCATAAGCCATTTCAAAATAAGTAATGCTTTTGATGCAGAAACAAAATGTGATCGTGCGGTGTGCCAAACTCGAGCGCGGGGAATCGAACCCCGATTTGCTGCCCGAATACTCTGCGAAACTATGCATAAGTGGGCAGCCGTGCACCGTGCACCACACTCGATACCTACTGCCTCTTTATCCGCCGCATACCCCTTCCAAAACAAGTAATGCTCTAATGCGGGAGCAAAATAAGTTATCAGAATCATGGCGCACGAGTCGAGCACGGGGAATCGAACCCCGTCCTGCTGCCTGCATCCTCCATGAAGTCATTAAGAGGGGCAGCCGTGCACCGTGCACCACACTCGCTTCCTCCTACCTTCTTAGCCGGTGCATACCCATAACCCATTTCAAAATAACTCATACTTTCAATGCAGAGGCAAAATGCCAAGAGGAGCTCAACTCGAGCGCGGGGAGTCGAACCCCGAGCTGCTGCCTGCATCATTCACGGGATGATATAGGTGGGGCAGCCATGCACTGTGCACCACACTCGATTCCTCCTACCTCCTTATCCGGTGCATACCCATTTCACAATAAATCATGATTTGAATGCAGGAGCAAAATATACGCAATTTGGAGAATAATTCGAGGGCGGGGAGTCGAACCCCGTCATGCTGCCGGCATACATGACGAAGCTTTTGGATAAGTGGGGGCAGCCGTGCACCGTGCACCACACTCAATTCCTCCTACCTTCTTATTCGGTGCATACCCATAAGCCATTTCAAAATAAGTCATGCTTTCAATGCTGAAGTAAAATAAGTTGGAGAGAGGGGCACTCGAGCGCGGGGAATCGAACCCCGGCTTGCTGCCTGCACAATTGATGAAATCCGACCTAAGTGGGCAGCTGTGCACCATGCACCACGCTCGATTTCTCATGCTCATTAATTTGGTGTGTGCCCATTTCAAAATAAATAATGCTTTTAATGCAGGAGCAAAATATACGTAATTTGGAGGATAATTCGAGGGCAGGGAATGGAGTATATACAAGAGCAGGAGGATACATATATACCGGAGCAAGAGACATTTAATAAAAACCCGACACATCCAGCCAATGTGTCTGGCTTTGCTTCAAGGCCGATGTATTCCTCTTTGGGAATGTGTCGGGTTTGATTGCCGCCGCGTGCGCGCGACAGCACACGTGGCGGCGAGATTCTGGTGGGTCGTCTCTTTCCTTCCTCCCACCACCACTGCCCCCCTCTCCACTTCACCCACCATGGCCGTCTCAATTACAGGGGCCCAAGGGCAAGTTTCCATGTAGAATATCCGTAGATCTATTGAGTATTCATGTACAATATATTTTACGGGGGGAATCGAACATCGCCGAAATCACCGAAGTAGTTCCCACGCCAACATTTTAATTGAATCACTGCCTCGTTCGCTCTGAGCGCTGATGCAATATATTTCACGGGGCAAAAGTCATCTCAAGTGGGTAGAGAATGGGAGCACACACGGCTTCAAGTCCTTTGAATCCCCCCAAAAGGTCAGCGCTCCCGAGTGGTATGTATAAGGAGGAAATAGGTGTACCCCTCGACTCGTGAGTCAAGCCGCAAGTCAATGTGTCGGGTTTCATCAAATGTGTCGGACCTTCATTGTATGTGTCTGGTTTCAATTAAATGTGTCTGGCTCACCATGTATGTATCCTCCGTGTTTTGTCAATCCCGCAGGGAATCGAACCCCGTCCTGCTGCCTGCATAGTACATGGAAGTCGAGATAAGTGGGGCAACCGTGCACCATGCACCACACTCGATTCCCTCAGCCCTATCATTCCGTGCATACCCGTTTCAAAATAAACAACACTTTTGATGCAGGAGCAAAATATCATCCGATCTGTCACCACTTGAGTGCAGGGAACCGAACCCTGTCCTGCTGCTTTCCATTATTATATGATAGACAACAAACTGTTACAGCCGTGCACCGTGCACCACCCTCGATTACTCCTACCCCCTTATCCGGTGCATACCGATTCCAAAACAATGAATGCTTCTGTTGCAGAAGCAAAATAAGGCAGGGAGGATTGGACGAACTCGAGTGCGGGGAGTCGAACCCCGTTCTGCTACCTGCAATGTCGTTGTAATTTTAAGCGGAGCAGCCGTGAACTGTGCACCACACTCAATTTCTCATACCACATCTTATGTGTGTATGGTCCAAAGAAATGTACCCATATCATCAGGCGCAAAAATATGTTGCAAATCCTGCAATAGTCAAGTGCAGGGAGTCGAACCCCAGCCATATACAGGACATCATAAGCGGGACAGCCGTGCACCATGCACCACACTCGATTCTCTGAAGCTTATCCTTTGGTGGGTGTCCTGTTCAAAGTCACCCATAATTTGAATGGGGGAGAAAAAGGTTGAGGAATTGGTTACACTCGAGTGCGGGGAGTCGAACCCCGACCTGCTACCTACAACTCCGAAGTCTGTATATGGGGGGCAGCCGTGCGCTGTGCACCACACTCGATTCCTCCCACCTCTTATCCACTGCCTACCTATAACCCATTTCGAAATAATGAATGCTTTCAATGCGGAAGTAAAATAAATCGGAAAGCTGGGACACGAGTCGAGCACGGGGAATCGAACCCCGTCTTACTGCCTGCATAGAGGAAGAAGTGAAGTATAAGTGGGGCAGCCGTGCACCGTGCACCACACTCGATTCCCCTTACCCACCTCCTTATCCAGTGCATACCAATAACCCATTCAAAAATAAGTAATGCTTTTAATGCGGGAGCAAAAAAATGTTTGGAGGAATGGCGAACTCGAGCGCGGGGAGTCGAACCCCGACCTGCTGCCTGCATACAGGACAACGCCTTTGAGTAGGTGGGGCAGCTGTGTACCGTGCACCACGCTCGATCTCCTATGCTATATTATTTCCGGTGTTTCTATGGGTTACATACATTGAAAAGATAAAACGCACTTATACTTTCTGGAGAAAAAGACCATAATTTCGAGGTGCCAGACTCGAGCGCGGGGAATCGAACCCCGTCCTGCTGTGTATAGTTGCGCATGAGCAAATGCATAAGTGGGCAGCTGTGCGCCGTGCACCGCACTTGATTGGCTTTTGTGGGAGGGGTTGTGGTATGTAATAAGTAGGAGTTCAACCGTGGGAATCCCCATTATCACAGAAAGACTACGCGGCGAGGACTTTCATTCGAGACATCGTGATACACCACCACTATCACTCATTTCCGAACCCCGCCGCCTGATGCGCTCCCGCCGATATTGATGCGCCGCAGATCACTGCCAAATTCCACGAAGATCTTCCAGACTCAAGAGCGCGTGGCGCGTGGTACGCCTTCTCGATTCTCACTCCCGCGCGGAAGCCGAATTTGGAGTCGAAGCCGATGAGTGCCAGCTCATGTGGGTCCGTGCAGGCTGCCATTCAAATTTCTCGCTCAGTTGTGGGCTTGTGTATGTATGTACGCGTCGCCGCATTTAAGTACATCATCAGAGATTAACCTCGTCGGTGGGCCTCGGCGCGAGAATACAAGGAGTCAGTGGGGCGGGTGGGCGAAAGGCGAAATTGAGAACAAGGCGCGGCGGTACCTGAGGATGTATGTATTGGACGGAATCTGATTCGTGTGAAGCGGGGTCATGGCAGGGCCGTTCGTTAATTGATTGGTTGAATGAATGAATGCAATGAATCAACGGTGGGCGGTGGGCGCTGGAGGGCGGGGGGCGGTGAATTGGACCGACCACGAGCGTTCTCATCGCTGGTGAAGATACAACTTTCGCTGCTCGTCGTGTCGCCGCCGCACCTCGTCGAGGTTCGAACAGTCTCTCGCTCGGACCTCGACCGCATTTGGACGAGGTTGCCGAATTAGGAAACAAACGAAAGAGCACGTGTGGGGTCTTCTGTGGCCAACCGCATCGTGGTCTTATTAAAGCCTTCCGGCACTTGTGGCATTGTCCTCGCCCGCCCCCATTGTTCCCCAACACATCCTTGTCTTGTTCTCCAACTCCCATTGTCTGCATTATGCCCGCAGTACGCCTCACAAACCGCAGGGCAAGTGCGATTGGAAGGAGGAGGAGCTCAATCGCGATAAATCGTATGTCCCCCTCCCTCTCTGCTTTTTGAGGGAAAAAAAGGGTTAACGAGGCCACGACAGCAGTGACAGTAAAGCCAGGCGTCTACGGCTACTCAACGTCGTCGTCGTCGGCGCCACCCCCGCCGCCGCCCCCAACGTCCGCCTCCTCAGTGACCTTCGCCCCCAACGTCACCCCCATATCCTACTCCGCGCCCTCCCCCAGCCCCTCGCCGTACGGTTCCCCCAGCCTCACCACCGACCTCCCGCTCCCGCTCTTCCCCCCCAGTGCGACACCCGCGCCACCGCCCACGCGCAGGCGTGCGCCACCGGGGAAGCGCCGCAGCCAGGGCTACGTCCCGCGCCCGCCCAACGCGTTCATGCTCTTCCGCGCCGATTTCGTGCGCCAGAAGCACGTACCTGGGAGTATCGAGACGAATCATGGGAGTTTGAGTAAGATTATCGGTGCGTTCCCTCCCCCCCCATTCCCTGTTTATGATGATGACTGACGAGGTGGCACAGGCAACTGCTGGCGCGCGCTCCCCCTCCCCGAAAAGCACATCTGGGAGACGAAAGCCAAGCACGCAAAGGCGGAGCACAAGCTCAAGTACCCCGACTACAAGTTCCGCCCCGTGCACAACAAGCGCCCCTCTCCCTCTTCCGCCAACTCCGCCACGGACTCCCCCTCCGGCACCCCCGCCCCGGTGGTGAAGCCCCCGCCGGCCCCAAGTGCAAGTGCGAGTAGGCAGGGGCAGCTGACGCCGGCGGAGGACGAGCGGCGGTGCGAGGCGGTGGCGCAGCTGCTCCTGCAGGGGAAGAAGGGCGAGGCGCTCGCGGACGCGGTGAGGGACCTTGATTGGCGGAGGGCGCATGAGCTCTCTTCCCTCTCTACCCATTCCCCCCATTCCCACTCTGCGTCGCCGTCGCCGGTACACCAAAATCACTACGACCAGTACGACGCGACGAGCAGCAAGTACCCGCACCCGCTCCATCTGGACCCGCTCTACTACCCCTCCCTCTCCTCGCATTCGGCGTCGAACTCGAATCCGGCGTCGGCCTCGTCCCCGCCGAGCAGCACGTTCACGCACTCTTCGCATTCGGGGTCGCCGTACTCCCTCCCCCTTGCTCTCGGTCACCAGTCGTCGCAACAACAACACCAGTCGTCGCAGGAGTGGCGCGGGCAGCAGCAGCAGCAACCCCGCGACGAATGGCGTTTGCATAGGAGGAGTTCGTCGGTACCGCTCCCCAACGACTACACCAACGCCTATACCTTCCCGCCCTTCATGACCATGCCGTCGTCGTACGCGCCTGCGTCCAATAACGCGTATTCCTACGACCCGAGTCTGACGTTGCCGTTCCCCTCGCCCTCCTTCTCTCCCCACCAAGGCGTAAGTGGAGTAGGTGGTAATGGGGGTACTGCGTACATGCCGCCCCCGCCGAGCTCGGGGGACGACTCCCTCGCCGGCCTTCTACCCTCCATCTCTTCTATGCAATCACAATCGGCGCTGGGATTGGGCTTGCAAGGCCCGGGGCGGATGTCCTTCTCCTGGGCCTCGCCGACGTCCTCGTACCCGCGCCCGTCGTTCTCTTTCGGGTCGGGGTTCGCTTCGGGTAACTCCTTCTCTTGGGGGAACGCGAGTGCAAATGGGGTGGGGACAGGGATAGGAGGCGGGTTAGGGAGGAGGGCGAGCAGCGCGCAGGCTTTGTTCGCGCCGAGCTCGTTCTCTTCCCACCCTTCACCGCGCGAACAGCAGGAGGCGCAGCAGGGGCAAGGGGAAGAAGACCTCCCCGACGCGGACACGTCCCTTTTCGAGGCTGGGTTTGGGTTCGGGAGCGCGGCGAGCCCGCGG